CCAATAACAGGATTCAACAGACTGAAAACAAAACAGAAAAAAGGTACAAAACGCTTAGAACATGCATCCTCGCAGTATGTGTAAATAAATATATTTAATAGCAGAACAACAATAGAAGTCAGATTGTATACGAAATATATATATATATATATACATGAAAAACTATGTGAGTTCACAGCAACACACACAAAGTACCAAAGTATCAAAGCTGCTCGGTGACAAGAGACCCTGAAATCCTGCAGGATATTGGATATTGTTGCGGCTGCTGTGGTTGACATGTCTCTTCATGGATTAGTCTGTAGGTGCTTTGAGGATTTGGAAAATGCCACTGTTAGTGTTTCCCAATGCTTCAAGGCCTTTGGTCTCAGTACACTTTGATTTAAAGCAGCAGTGAATGCCACTGCCTCCTTCTCTGTTTGTGATAACCACAGGCAAGGCATCAATGTGCAGGCACAGACTGGAGAACACACAGTTCACACTGAATTATGAAGCAGTGTCGTTAGTAGTCATTAGTGAAGTAGCTGGGATGCAGATTACTGTATCTTCTCCTCTCTCTCTGTGAAAAGGGGACTATTCCCACCCTGGTGAGGGGAGAGCAGCTTCCCTATGTTGTGCAGTCCAGACATATCAGGACTCAATATTAATGAATGAAGGCTGATGTGATTAAGGGATGTGTGACGGTACAGTGCTACCATTCGCATTAGAAGCTGTTTACTAATCTATAGCTGCTTTCAGACAGACGTACTGAAGTCCAAACAATTTCCCCAAAAAAGCATATTTTGCAGAACTCATTCTTCCAGACCCCTGATTAAAAGTCCAGAGTGAGGCCGTGTGAGGAGACGGCAGGAACATTTCTGAAAAATTCACAGTGAGCAAGATGGTGTGTAGATGTTTCTGAAACGTAAATGACAGTGGTGCTGCACATGTAGAAGAAACTGACAAAGATATCAAATTGGAGAGACGATGAGATTTGAGAACTTTGGTTGATAAGGAAAGACACTGGTGTCGATGTGCTGTAAACAAAAACATTGCATTCCCCAGTGGAATTTATACTTCATGACCTGCCTTCTACAGGATCTACTGAGGCACCACGGTTCACCTGAATGCTTTGGACAATTTACTGTTGTGAGCAAACATTAAGTAGCTTTGCTTGGGAGCATTTAATTCTCTTATGTTGAAAACACAGCAATAGCAAACAATCATCCACACCACCCCCTCCTAGCAGAGAAAACGTATATAGTGCACCAATGGTTATAATGTAAGCAGCTTACATCTTATTATTATCTTAATATTGGTTGGGGTGACCATTCAAGGTAAATACAGAGTATAATGTAAATGACTGCGGAGACGCCACAGAGCCAAGACAGGCCATAGGGGCTGCAAATCTCCCAGCTGGCATAACAAAGCTCGGTGGAGGTGGTGACGGTGCAAACAGCTGGGGAAAAGGCCACTCGGGGTTCTGCTGCCACAGCGACCCCGACTCTAAAACGCTGTGAGAAAATGGATGGACAGATGGAAAAATTGCGTAATGTTTTCACAGAAGCTAATATACCATATGCATTCTGTGACATGTTCACACAGCATCAACGTCGTTGTGCAGATTTCCTGTGTCAATGAATTCATCACTGGCTGGATTTCAATTAATATGATGCCAAGATTTATTAAGATTTGTTTAAAATTGCATGAATTCAAAACACGGCGACAGGAAATGACAAATATCTTTCAGTCCTCACTTCTAATCTCAGCAGCACATCAGGAGTCAATCAACCCATCAAATATTCAAATACATCAGCAGGCACTTTGCACTCCCTGAATGAGAAATAATACATTGTACACCGTATTAAAACCAACACCACACATGCATAATACATTTGACTGTAAAACAGACACAAAGAAGAAAGAGCTGCATGTGAACCGTGATGCCAGAACCTGATAAACACAGAAGTTTGTGTTAAATGTTCTCTTTGAGATACTGGTTTGGAGAGGGTGCATAACGGAACACATGGTGGTGTTTGATGCTGGTAGGTGACTGTAACACAAGCGTCAGTGATCAAATGGATACAAGTGAAAAAAGGATTCAAATCGTGCTGAATGAAAATGGTGTTTAAGGTTCCATAAACCACATATCCTCTGCATGAAAGAGCAGCAAACATTTTCTCTTCCTCTCCGGTGCTTTCAATCAACCTCAGCTCTACTACCTTCTTTATTTCACCTCTAAGCTCCACCCCTGCAATGGTCCTGCCAGAGAAAGTGGAAATTTCCAGTAATTCCTTCTACTTTGCAAGAAACGCTCCTCCTCCTCCTCCTCCTCCTCCTTCTTGTTTCCCGCCTTTCACTCTACCTGCTCCTTCCTGCAGTAAGATGAATTGAAGACCTCATGGCCCTCTACTGCTCGGCTGTGTGGTGCCAGGCAGCTTTCACTTACACAACAACAAATCTGGTTTTTCTTTGCATTTCTGCATATAATCACAGGACTATGATCTTTTCATCGAAGGTGTTTAAGGGTAGTTGATTAAATATCTTGTTTTAATTTGGGGACAAGGATTAAAATGCAGTTTTTTAAATAAGTCACTCACTCTGATGTCTTCGCCACAGTTTATATGTTCATAAAGGACATTATGTCTTTTCACCTGCTGAATAAATATTCGGGGTTAAGCACTGTGTAACTGTCACATTAGCGCCTGAATGATGAACAAGGGTTGGTTTGGGATCACAGAACAGATTGCACATTTGCATTTTTATTTCTCTGGCTAATTTGATATTCTGGGGTCTGGTTTGTTTCGCCCTACAACTGATCCAGCTACAGTCACAGATTGGAGATTCAAGTGATGTGACGAGCACTTCAGTGATTACAGCGTAGGATTAGGTGTGGCTCAGACATGGAAAGAAGATGCTATCTGTTGGCTATCTCTTCGCTTCATCTGCGGTTTTACAACTTCCTCATGGAGACCATAATGTAAATATGAGCAGTGAAGATCATCTGTGAGAACATATATAAATGACAGCTGGAGTGAAGAAGTTTAAGTGTGTGGATGGCATGAGGCACTCTGACCTTAGACCCATTGTGAAGCACCAACAAAGAGCCATCTGCACAGCAACCAAAGCCGAGATGAGGGACTCGCACACAGGGGGACTGAAGGAGGGGGGTGCACAGGGAGAGTGTGAAAGAGAAAACAGATCAGTGATCAGTGATCAAGGAGAATTTAAATGGGGGTTAGATCAGCAAGATATTGTCTGAAATATTAAAACAGTCAGTGGGAATGTCTCAGAGGTTTTTATGCACAGAGAAAACATGAAGCTGCCCACCATGAGAGCATGGATCTTTCTAAGAGGAAGACGAGAGCCGCTGGCCTAATCACTCAAGTGCACATTTCCTGCCTCCAGCATGATGACATGAAGTCAACTGAAGCCGTTTTAGGATAATGATTAACCTAAAAATGGAGCTCAGCATGGCGGGTAGCTATTAATTTATTTATCAGAAGTGCACAGGCGTTGTCACCGCATTAATCTGAGTTTTAATAATATCTTGAATCAGAGGGTTAATAGTTTGGATGTGAACAGATCTCTCTTCCTGGTTGTATTTAGTCTATTATTGTATCAGATTTTCTTTCAGGGCGCATCACAAAAATAGAGAAAACAAAGACAAAATGGTGTCGGGGGCATCTGTAATAATCACAAATGTTTCACAGGTAAGACATGAGAGTCAGGATTGCTTAGCAACAGCAGTAAAAAAAATAAATAATAAATCTTGCAGCTTGTGTGGCAGCAGGGAAACTGACAGTGCTGCCCTCCAGTGGTGGACCGGTGGCACATGCTGGGGGGGTGAGGGTGGCGAGGGGGGGAGGGAAATCGCCACAAAAGAATGATCAAAAGCATGAATGTGCATGTGCGAGTGGGGAAAAGCCATAGTCCGTAACAAGGCACAATGACCTCATAAATGCACAAGTCAAACAACGATATCCTCTTTTAATCCTGGACACGATTCAAAAATGTGTTCAGCAATTCCATTGGCTGGAAATTGCACCAGCTCTAGTGGCGGATGGTTGCCTGGCAACATTCATGAGCGGGTGGGAGGGTGTGAGTGTTGGAGGGAAGGAGGGAGAGGGAGTATTGTGAGTGTAGGCAATGTTTCTGGGGAAATACCTGGAACAACTCCCAAATAAACAAACGAGAGAGCGGCCGGGTTCAGATAACATGACACGTCAGAGACTGAGGTGCTAACAGTTTGTTCTCAGAGCAGAATCACACTGGGGACAAGCAGCAGAGGGCATGATGGAATAAAGAAATACCTGTAGTGACATGAAAGTTTGCAAAAACTTTGTCAAACAATGAGCTGCTGGTTTCTTTGACATAAAACTGAGCTCTGGTGTTTACAGTCTTAGCAGTGGAACTGAGAGAAAGTCTAGAAATGGCACAACAGGACATGATGAAGTGCAGCTGTCTGAGAAGGACCAGGCCGCAGACAAACAGGCAGCTCCCAGATAAGAGTTCAGAGGCCACACTACCTGAGCTTGCTTATTCTCGTTGGCACGGCTGGGGTGAGCTGAGCTGAACGCCATAGCCACGCAAAGTAAGGAGGAAGAAGGACAGAGGACGCGCAAGGAAAAAAGTAGAGTGTTGGAAGGAGACAAGGTGGAAAATGTGCTTAAGTGTGTGTGTGGGGGGGCTGGTGCTGGTAGGTAGGGCCTGCAGGAGGAGGTGGGCCTTTAATATGGCTACAGCAGGCGGTCTCTACAGGCAATGAGGACTCTTTAGTAGGCAGCAGGAAATGAGGTTTCTATGGCGATGCGGAGGGCCGTGTGCACACAGAATTTATTGGGAGGGGTGGAGGGGTGGGCTGTGTGTGTGAGGAGGCGCACTAAGTGAGAGTTGAATTTCAAAGAAAGCAGCCATCCTCCATCTCATCTCCAACCACCGCCCCCTACTTTTCCACAGCTGCCTCTTTTTTCTTTTTCTTCTTTAATCTTTGATATTCTGTTTTCATTTCACCGTTGACAGATTAACTCGAAGCCATTGGTTGATGTGTGTTTACACAGTAGCAGTCTCACTTCCTCAAATTGCAGCTGCCAAAACCATATTCAAAAGAAAAGTTCAACAAACATACTAATTAAATCCACTCCACTCCAGTTGGATAATTAACATGATGACCTTATTTTGACAAATACACTTCTGTTGAATCGCCCCCCTCCCTTGATAAGAACCAGGCACCATCGTGACCTTTAAAGCCTAAATATAGTCACACACTTTGTTAATTGTTACTAAGCTGCTGTTTCTTATAATAAGTTCCCGGTCCTGGATTTCAGAGGAAGTTGCTCTCTGCTGCGGTGAACACCATCTTTGCCCCAACACAGGTTCACTTCAGGATGTTTGGATAAGATGACATTTAAAATGCTACAGACATTACTGCTACACATGAAGATGATATGAGAATCTGTGAGCATGTACACTAACTGGTGGACACACTGGTGTTAGTGGTTGTGGTGTAAATGAACAAAGTCGGTTTAATGAGAATGTCATATGAAACCAAATAATACATTTGTGTTATTAGTCAGAATAATCATAACAAAATGTGACAATAGCTCCTCATCTCCTTTTTGGAAACTTTGAGTCGAGGGCGCAAGCCAATTGGAATTACAAAAGCTTCTGCTGCCCCCAACCGTTCAGTTTGAGCACTGCAGCGAGTACCATGTAATGAAGCCCTGCCAGTGAGCCAGGCTGCACTCAGACCAGACTGTAGTCAAAGCCAGATGGCAAGTCACACATCAAAAGAACAGCTGGCTACCAGAGTCTGAAAAGGGGCATTTTTATTGCTCCAAAACTAATTAGCTCCAGCTTAACAAATCACATCAGTGTGTGTGTATATAGCAGGAAATGTGAGTGGTTTCTCATGAAAAAGGTGAATTACATGTAATATAATTAAGCTTTTAATGTTGGAAGCTGCAGTACTTCACCCTCCATTGTTTAAGGTAAATAATGAAAAAGGCCCTTCAGATGCAGATAATGCGGATCCACATTAACTGTACTGATCAGGTCCCTGTGACCCTGTTCAGTCCTGTTGTCAACATCTGTCCTGAGAAATCCGATCAGAAGTGGTCACTAGAGAAACATTCAGGACATATTCTAATGTCAGGTGTGACCACATGTACTTTACTCTGAGCTCTGTGATTGGATCCCTCAGGGCGGATGTTAATACCTGGTCTGAACGGGGCCGTGTCAGATCAGTGCTTCTGCAACAGAGCGCCGCCAATCTCCGAACTGCTGCCTGGTCTTCGAGGCTTTGGTCGCTGCTTGCTTGACTGATCTCTGTTTCTGCTGTATCTATAAATAAGAAGCAACAAACAAGTGATTTCAACTGTTGATCATGATTAACTTATAAATAATCACTCAAGTGTAGAATTGCACTAACCCCATTATTCTGCGGAGTTCCCCCTGTGAGAGGGGCCGTTCTTCCTCATGGGCCACAAGAGAATCTTCTGTATCGTGCTCGACACTGAGGAATCCAACACAGACACAACCATCAACCTTTTATCCAAGCTGCGAGGGTGAGGAGGTGGCTCAGGAGAGCCCCTCAGGGGGGGTGACTAGTAAAGCTAATCACTCCCCCTGCTTAAAGGTGTGAAATTAATTAATTATAACTCGACTATCTCCAAACATTAGATAACAGATGAGAGGCCTACCTGTTGACTGTCTGCTGGAGACTGGTATTCTGCTGAAGCAGCTCTGGATCCTGACCCAGAAGAAATTTGGCCAGGTCTTTTGGATTGTAGTCCTTCTCTAGATCCTGCAAGTGTTCAAAATCCAGAGACGTGTAATGTTACAAAGACGAAAACGAAAGACAGTAATGTATGAACATCAGATGCGTAGGTTAAAAGGCCACCTTAGAATTGAGGAAAGCTTGTATGGTGAGCAGCTCATTAGTCTTCCGTTCCACCAGGCCCAGATAGGACATGATGTTGTTCTCACTGATCCCTGTGGAGGAGCCAAGCATGTCCTCGATCACCGAGCGGTCACACTCCATTGTGGAGAAGGTGCTGCTCACTCCTGTGGAACAAGAGGAAAAGAGAGAGACACTGATTTATCAGGAGCTTATTTTCTTCTGCGTTCTGTCTGTTTTTCTGATAGTTAGCAGGATGACACAAAGACTGCTGGATGGACTAACATGAAACTTGGTGGAAAGATGTTGTAAAATCGAATAGGATGTTTCCTGAAAAATCTTTTGTAATGTTTCCAATAAAAAACAAACATTTCCCAAGTTTGCATGTTCATTTAAAAGAATCAAGGTTACACAACATATTAATTGAAATTAATGAATTATACTTATTAAATAGTGTGTCTATTTCCCTTATTATTACATCCTTCAAGGACACTAGGCAGGAAATCATTTAGAAACTATAGACCTATAAACTACATTGCTGCCCAACCTGCTTTACTCTTGTCCAGGATGTTGCTTATGATGCTGGCCTGGTTTTCATACTCGTCAGTTCGGGATTCAGTTTTCTTTTGTTGTTCATCGATGTCTCTCAGCAAAGAGCGGTGATCGTGCTCCTGCTGCAAACCTTTCACTCGAAAGTTCTCCATCTCCTCTTGGATCTAGCACATTTCAGTTCAAACAGAAAAAGTAAATAAACATAGACATTCATTTATAAACTGTCTCCTCACTGAATATCACATCTTTCCTCTTAAGTTGCTCTAATCACTCTCTTAAATCCCCTCCATCTCCAAAGCTTTAATTTCACGTCCTAAACATTTGGAAGAACTACACAACCATTTGAACGGGTTTTAAATCATCTTTGCGAACCAAGAATTAAGTGTATTCTACTCTTATAGGAGAATAAGCAAAGTTCTATGGATATTGTCAAAGAAAACCTTCTCACCTTCTTGATTTGATCCGTCAGAGCTTCAGCCTCATTATTTTGCTCATTAACAACATTGAAGAGGGCAAAGTTGCGGTCTTCACCTACACAGTGAAACAGCAATGAGATACATTTAAATCCTCTAAACTGATTATCCCAATCATCAAAGTGGGATGTTACACTTAGCTTTAGTGTCCCTCCAAAAGCAGAGAACAATAAGAGCCAATTTCAAACTTTTAAAGTGATCCATCAATAAGCAGCATAATTAGACAGCATTGTCTTTGTGTATGGCGGAGTCAGGATGTGATTTACCCTGAATGAACCTGGTGACCAGCATGTCCAGGTTGTCCTCTCCTGTCACTGTCTGAATCCTCTCGAAAACCTCCTCGAGAACGTCCAGAGACTCTTCCTCCGAGTCCATCCTCTGCTGCTCCTTCACCTCAGACACTAGGACAAACCAGCACCGTCATACTTTTCTTATTATATTAAATGTCAAAGACAGCTGCAGAAAATACTGCCTAATCCCCTAAGTCTCCCCATTGTTACAGTAAGACAGGGTGTGGGACGTCTGGCCCGCGAGGCAATTCAAAAATGCAAAAAAACCCATACACACATGGTGTGATGTGTTAATGATAAACATACATTTAAGTATGGCCCTCGAAGGATGTTTGAAAATTAAAATGATAGAGAAAAGGTTCCCCACCCCTTCAGTAAGAATGTCTGTTTTTCTGAGGGTTGGATTCTTCATTCTAGCTTATGCTCATAACTGAAGAAGATGGTGCTTTTATAAGCCATAGTAATACCTGATGTCAACCAAAGCTGCTAAAGGTGGCCTGAATTTGGTTTGTGCTAGTCGGGCCATATTTACCATTCACCACCTGGGCCACTTTAGACTCACATCCAGATTACACCCTGCCAACCAAGCACCACGTGTTTGCCGAAAATGGTCCACATCCGTATGTTATCAGGGGAAGGACATCTCAGTAGATACATTTTAAATATGTTGGCATTAATATAATCAATATGACAGCACCACTAAAACCTTTTATTGTAAATATTATGTCTAAGTACAAATATTGGCAACAGCAAGATGGCCGCTTATTACATTGTCTGTGTCCCATCTCGGGGACGTTGTCCTGCCCGCTCCTCTCGCTGCACTTGATGGTCATAAACTCCTTCAGGATTTGCTCATGTGCAATAACTCTCTCCAATTCCTTCATCTCAGTGTTGTACTGGGCAAGGTCCTTCACTGCCTTCTCCCTCATCATGGTCATTTTGGACTGAGCCTCCACCCTAAGGTAGAAGCATTAATAAATACATAAGATGATTCAAAAACCAAGCTCACAGGGACTTTAACATCATTATCCCTGTGTCAAGTCTGACCTGGCATCATAAGCAGCAGTGGACAGGTTGATCATTTCTCCAATCTTCTTGCGGATCTCCTGTAGCTCCTACAGCTCACAGAGCGCAGGGACATGCTTTTAACTTGACAACTTAAAACCAGTGTAAAAGCTTGAATACCAGACTAAATAACAGGGAAGCTAAACAAAAAAGAGTTTGTATTTATCTATGGTGTGACCTCTGACCTTGTCCAGCCTGTTGTGTAGCTGCTGAAAACGCACACGCTCGACGCAAAGCGTTTGCAGCTCCTCTCTCAGGTGGCTGTTTTTGGACAATTGTTCATTGAAGCGAGTCAAAGCCTGAAAAGGACATTGTGCACAAAGTTTTAAACATTACAGTGAAAATGGGAGGATAGTTGGGAAAATTTAAGACAAGTTCAGATAAGATAACACATGACTGTATAAACTACATTTAAATAGGCAAAACAATTAAATATCCATAAAATAAAAATATGTAATATGTACTTAACATCCACTTTTCACTATAAATGGAAATATAATTGGTAGAGAAATGTACTTGAGTAATATGCAGAAGCACAGTATGATTGCATGAGGATGTATACTGCGTTCGAGCATAATGTATAAAGAGATATCCACAGAGACGTATACATGAACTCTATATGTATATAAAGACTGTGATAGGTATTCAGGCACTAATGGAAATCAATAGTTTTAATCAATATAAGGGCATGTGTTATACATATTTATGTGGGTATATTTTCACAGTAGGTTGTAAATAGTATGACTATTTAAAGATATATAAATATATATGTTGGTATACAATATGATGAAATATAAAAATGTATGTGTAGATATAATATAGGTGAATTTCCCAATAAGATGCAGACATATGGAATAGTGAGAATTGATACATTTATACTATTGACTGGACAAAGATGCTCCTTCATAACTCACTCTGTCCAGTTTGTATTCCAGCGTCTGTATGGCCTTCTGAGTCCGCTGTACCTCTGACACTTGTGTGTCACTGGATCTGAACTCCCCTTTTCTCAGCTCAGACAGCTTCATCTCCATGTCTGAGATCTGCTCACAATACAGACACATGGCTTGATCAAATATCAACAACCGCTAAATGTAAGTAGAGGTTACTGACATACAGAGTGAAAAAGACTTGTTCACCTCTCGTTTTAAGTCTTTCTGACACTGCTTTTCTTTTCTCAGCTCCTCCTCCAGCATGTCTCCCTGCTCCAGCAGAGCTTGTAGTTGCTGGGTGTCCTCACTGTCCTGCTGTTGGTGGGACGAGCTCTTACATACGCAGAGGTTTCGATGCAGCTCCTCCTGCTCCTTCCGCAGCCTATCCATCTCCAGCCTTCACTCACAACACACAAACAGCAGGTCAATACAAATACAAACAGAACTAGAGCTGCAATTAACCATTGTTTTGATAATCACTTAATCCATCATTTTGTATTAATTATTTAGATTAAAAAGACAAAAATGCTACATTTTTACTTTTCTAGCAGTTCTTCTTGTACAATGCTGTTTTTATATGTATTACAGACATCTGCAATTTAATTCTGACTTTTCATAATCCAAGTTCAAGATGTCTTAAATTCATGTAAATTTAAGATACCTTAAATTAAGTTTGAACTTGTCAGTATGGTGTTATATTTATGACTAGTCAGAATTAAATTTTGTATATTGGATAACTGGCATGAAATATTATAGTTTACAATAATATAATTCTGAATGAAATATCACATGAATTACAAAAGCAGTTTGAATCTTAATATATAATGACATATGTTGAAGTTTTGAGTAGTTAAAACAGAATCAAAGATGTTGTTTTGAATATTTAGAATGTTATAAATCTAATATGAACATTCTTGCTCGTCACAGTTGCTCTCTCTCTCTCGTTGAGTCGGTGAAGCGACAGTGAAAACAGTGTAAAGCTCCTCAGTTTCATTCCACCGTGAAGTTGTGCTACTCTTCACGGTGAAATCAACTTTACACAGTTTGCAGTAAAAGTCTTCTTGAACACTTGTTCTCACACTTTCTACAACTAATGGTCTCCGCCATTTTTCAATCGTGCAGGCGTCGTCACGTGAGCTACAAAAGCCCCCCCCTCCTGATTTTTTAACAGACCCGAATAATCGACTACTAAATTAGTTGCCAACAATTTTTATAATCGATGAATTCGTCATGATTTGTCGCAGCCCTGCTGTGAACCCTGGGTGCAGTGTCTGTATGTGTTACTGCTGTTTGCGGATCTGCTCCCGGGCCTGGATGCTGTAGGCCTGGCGATCTCCTTCCATGATCCTGAACTGCCTCTGCAGTTTGGCCAGTTCTGACTCTGTTGGCACAGAATCATGAAGATTGTTACGACTGGAGAAGTAACGTCACGGAGAGAGAGAGAGAGAGAGAGAGAGAGCATCGAAGTGTAAGTTCGTCACAACAGTACCTGTGTTTTCAGAATCCATCTGTTGTCGCGGAGTTTTAAAAGCCTGAGGAACTCTGAGCATAAACAACACAGGCCCGGCCGCTTCAGTTGTAGCAACCGTTGCTAAGTGTCAGCAATCGTAGGCCCTGAGTTCAGGCTCTCAGGCAGCAGTAACACCCATAGACTGTATATAAAGAGGTAACACCACAAGACAACATTTGGGTCGTATAGGTCACTGGTTAAGCTGTGGTTACGTCATTGTAAGGATTTATACAAATACACAACTCCTGTGTCAGCCTGCGTCTTTTTTAACACGCACCATCAGACTCTTCCATCTGTTTTGGTCTTGTGAACATACTGGAAGTAAGTTTTCAAATCTTAACCTGTTGTCATTACTCTGGACTCAAGACCTGGACTTTGCCCATTTTATTTTGCATTTGGTGTTTTGGTTTTATTGTGGACTCTTTCGTTGAAAGTCTTCTCCTGTGTCTCCCTGTGTTTAGGTTTGTGTTTGGAATTGTGTTCTCCTTGAGTTGTCACTTTCCTGTTTTACTTTGAAGTTTTGCTCCTTGTAGGTTTCCTACTTTACCTCCTGTCTTTGTCTTGTGTCTTGGCCTGTGATTGTCTGCACCTGCTCCTCATGTCTTTCACCTGTGCATGGAAGTTGTTGTGCTTCTCTTTGTCTTGGTCAGTTGGTTGTCATCTTACATGGCCGTCTCACCACTAGTTCCCTTCTCTCGTGACTTTCTAGTGCTTTCCTTGTTTTACCTGTGAGCCTTTTTGATTTTATGGATTTTAGGATTTAGTTTTTTCTCTGTAGACCTTTGCCTTTCACTAAAGGACACCTTTTGTTTTACTCTGCATTTTCAGGTCCACCTGCTTCAACAAAAGCTGAAACTATTCCTCATGTGCAAATGATTTTGAAAAATATTGAGGGCAATTGTACATTATGTGTAAATATAATATATGGTAATGTTTGCATTAATGCTTGTACACCACAGTGACATTTTTAATAAACAATGTTTACAACTGCATGAGTGAAAAATAACTGTGTGAGACAATAAAGAATTAACCTTCATGCATGGACTATATTGAAGAGTATTTATTATCTTGAAAATATACTATATATATATATATATAGAGAGAGAGAGAGAAATTGTACAATGTTCTGTGAGTTTTTTTACATAGTACATATTACATAGTAAATCAGCAATATAACAAGTAAAAACCTATAATAACAAAATATGTGTTTCATAAACTTGAAGCCTAAGCTCTACAAAGCATACAAATAAAAATTTTACAAAATATTTGATTCTTGAATATTGTTTATCAGATTTTTTAATTCATCTGATAAAACTGCACTGTGGTGGCTGTCAAAGACCTGTTTATTGGCCTGGCTGTGGCTGTGGCTCCTCAGCCGCTGTTGGGGGAATGCCCTCTAGAAAGGTACAGAATTGCTCTGTTGTGTTGAGGTTGGGTTTCCTCAACAACAAGTAGCATTTTGGGAAGAAGTAGGCTGCTCCCAGTCCAAAGTTACTCAACAGGGTGAAAGAAACATGGACAATGATCCTGTTCTTGTAGGTCAAGCCTATGTAGATTGGAATAAAGGTCACCCAAATCACACAGTAGATCAGGGAACAAAAGGTGATGTCCCTTGCAAGGTTGTACTGATGAAGAGGCTTTATCGCCATGAAGGTGCACATGAATGAGATAAGAGCCATAACACAGTTGAAACCTTGCATTAAGGCAAATCCGGTCAATGAGACTGGGCATGACAGAAAGGCCCTCACAAAGTCTATTTTCATGTTTGCCACATGTTCAGATAACCAGGGATATTCCTGAACAAGCCAGCCACAGAGAGAAGCCTGAACTACACAGCAGACCAGCACGAACAGCCAGATCCCAGGACCTCGAAAGATGTGCAGGCGAGAGGCGGCTATCTCTGGGAACTCCGTCACTAAGAATATCTGTTTGAAAATAAATGTGGTTTCAGCCTGTTAACAATGTGTTCACTTTATATCGCTCTCCATGACAATAATGTATTTTATGTTATTCCTTACCTGCAGTGAGATGAATGTGATAATGGAGAGGGTGACTGTTTGGAAAATGGAAGTGAGTGGCAGCTGCAGACGACACACAGCGTTTCCAGGCTGTCCCAAGAAGAGCAGCAGACTAAGACACACTCCTGTCAGGCTCAGAAGAGCCACAAAACTCAGGGCTCCACCCGAGGCCTTCACCAGCGGGGTCCCCCAGTGTTTCAGGAACACGACACCAACTGACCCCTGACACAGCAGCAGCAGCAACCCGGCCATGATCATTAGCAGAGCTTCAGGTGTGTCCCAGGCCAAAACGTCAAAAGTGGGTTTAATGCACGTGGTGCTGCGGATCAGGGACCAATGACCCTCAGGGCACTTAGTACACTGGATGTCGTCTGTGAGTCAGAGGGGACAGCAGGAAGTTAGTTTGATGAACAGGCACACCACTGAGAAATCAAACCATGACTGTATATCACCTCAGTGGAAACAGTTAGTCTGGATCGATTCAGAGGCAACAAAATCCACAAAGTAACGTGTGCTATCTTGTGTGTGGAAACATCAGACAAGGGTTTTAAACTGGGATATGTGCTGTGTAAGATACATTTACTCAACCTGCCCAGATAAATTAAACCAGTAAAACATCAAATTGTAATTTTGTAATTTAACATTTTAGTTAATGACCTGATGAAGTGCTGGTAAACAGAAATTTTTTTGGCCTGTTTCCCCATATTTCCTGTTTTAATGCAAAGCTAAAGGCTGTCAGCTAAAGCATTATATTCACTGTATATGACATGAGAGTGATATGAATTTTCTCCTCTGGAAGGTAAGTGAATAAGAATAGTGGTGACTGGTGACATTTGAGGAAATAAATAAGTTGTGGCCATGAAATAATGTGTGGGGATGAGCTATGAACTATCTTGTGTCCACAAGATACACATTTTTTCTTTACTAACAAGCTTGATGAACTGAAGAAGCCTCTTGGATGAGAGGTGACACCTTTGATAAGTCCTGATCACAACATATTAACCAGGAGCCACAACTTGTTTGTTTTTTTTCCAAATGTCACCAGGTGAGCTCTGTACTGTTCCTATAAACAAGTGTCAAGTATTTTGAGAGAGGTAAGACAACCACATTACCCTTTTTTGCCTGGTACGTTCCTGGCAAACAGTCAATACAATCAAAACAGCAGGAGTGGAAGCCTTTAACTCTGTGGACCTGTCCCATCTCACATGCTGCTGAACAGGTGGACTGAGGAGCCTGCGAAAGTTAATGCATCATAGTTTGGATTGTTATGGTACAAAAAATGTATTTAGGTGGAATATAATAACAAAGCTTTTAAAGTGCATATACTGTATGTTTAGAGGTTTGTATCTATTTCTTAATAGATTGCTGAAATTACCTCTGACTTTGCAGTGTACCATTTGAAGAGGGACTTGTTGATAGTCAGTTCTCTATAAAAGCTTCCAACATTCCTAAAATGTAACCCTGAGGCCTCCCAACTCCACTCAACCAAATCATATCCAAGGTTTGGGTTGCCATTACTGTCAAACTCTAACTGTTTGCCATTTATGTTTACTGACGTGTTTCTTAAAATCTCCAACAGCTGCAAAAGAAGATTGTAGTCATTATTTGATTTTGTTTAGAAAAAAAGGTTTCATTTCAAACTGTGTGCAATCACCTGTAAAAGGTGAGGAAAAGGAAAATCACCTTCCAGGGATAGATTTTAGTTTCTGATCCCCACAGACAGGCAGTCGAATTACACTCCAGCAGTTTATGCAGTGCCTCTGCCACAATGTAGATGGCAGCATACACACTGAAAGCTGAGCGCTGCACTGCTGTGTCTTTCACCAAACTGATGTTAGCAGGGGATAAGTCCCAACACTCTGGGCAGGGATTGTTGAAAGACTTTGTTGCTGAACGCGACATGTCTGACTTCTCCTTGCTCAGTTTGAGGAGGAGTTCATGTGTGTAGGGAGTGAGCAGATCCAGGGTCTGTGTCATGTCAGTGAAGCCCAGGATGGTTCCCACTCTCTGGATGTTGGTGAGAGAAGTCAGTCTGCTGTTGATGGACCAGGCTGTGCTGCCAATCCACACTCCTGTTACATTCCTCCTGATGACCTGGAATGGATCGGACAGGATGATTGGATCTGAACTGAGTATATACTGTCATCAGTGGTGGGATGTAACAACATGCTTTTACTTCATTACTGTACTTAAAGGTTTAGTGTGTAGGATTTAGGTGAAAGGGAGCTATTGGCAAAAATGGACAAACTAAACACCTTTACACAGGTTCTCTCACGTTTGGAAGGGGAGGCTGAGGTGAGGGGTATTCAGCTGCTTCAGTTTGGACTACTGTAAAAAACATGGTGGCCTCCGTAAAGAGGACCCACTCGCGATGTTAATATGAAGAGGGGACCGGCTCCTGATGTAAATATGAAGTATTTAAATATAAATGGCCCATTCTAGGGTATTCGTACAATTTAGATGAAACACCGTAGAGCAAACATCACTAGGATTATTATATATTCAATTTCTGCCAATAGATCCCTTTCACCTAAATCTTTGATACTGAACCTTTAAGTATGTTTTTCAAGTATCTGTACATTTGTTTTGGGGGGGGGGTACTTTTCACTTTTACTCCACTACATATATCAGTAAATACCTGTATTTTCTACTACAATACATTTTTACAAAGCATTGTGATACATGTACACACATATTTTTACAGTAATCCATAATGCAAGGGGAATTGGTCCACTGAGCCAATCAAAATGGCATGAAGCTGTAGTAGACACTCTGAAAGCACTTTTACTTGTAATACTTTATTTAAGGGCCCCATATTTTACACTATTCTGGTATTGATACTCCTAAAATCTCATCTCAGTGGTTCACACTGAACAGGTCGTATTCGGCGGTCTCCTCTGATTGGCTGACTGCACTTTGAGTGACTCGTGAACAGGCCTATCATCGGTCTCCTGCTGGAGCATGGTGGAAGTCAACAAATGACGACGACTCCAGCTGAGTGAAGGTATTATGTTTGAGTCAGACCCTGAGACGGACACGGCTCAACCACCCACTCACAGTCGGTCCCCACCGGATGTTTCAGGACGGTGAGTTACGTTGTCGTTAAGCAGCACCCCCCCCCCCGCGGTTCGATGGGAAAATCAGCCGCCTGTCGTTTTTCGAGTGCGCATTTGATCGCACGTTTACGGTTATCTACTGCCACAAATACTACAGAGTAAATGATAGCAGAAGAGGCTCGTTCTTGTTTTCTGGGTGGGGGGGCATTACTTTAAAAGTACACAGTATAAGTACTTCATAGTATTTGTGATAGGGGCATGTACATTATCCCATATGTTTACCGTAAACACGCGATCAATCGCGCACTCGAAAAAAACGACAGGGGGCTGAAGCATCTTTGAGCAGAGGGGCTATGCTAATCTATGCAAATTTTCTCTATCGTTCCAATTTTGGTATATGTGAATTTTGGTATATGTTTACATTAATACTGTTTATGAACAGCATATAACCATTGTTGAGGCCGGTTTACACATGACACATGCTGTTATTTCACTAGTATGTTGCTTTTTCCTCTACAGGTGCAGGTGTGTGGCCATTGTGCCAAGGTACCAACAAAAAGAGAGAATGTGCTGCAGGGAGACAAACAAGGTAGATTATCAAAAACTCTTCATTGTTGCCAAAGTCATTGTTGTGTTGCCAAAGTACCTAAAGTAACTAATGTAAGGGACCAAATCGTTTGTCACGTCATAAAAACTGGAATCAAGAAACAAGCTGATTCAAGGAAGGATTTCCAGGACTGACTGTGACAGTACCCCCTGACTCCCTTCAAGTGTTTATTGATAGCAAAAGCCCAGAAAATGTATTTTTCACTGTATGGGGCCTTTACAAGCAACGCACTTACCTTTACTCAAGAAGAAAAGTTAATGCTGTACTTTTATATTCACCTCTTTGCCTATTTACTCCTAATTTCACTTCATTAAAATGTTTGTGTAGACATCCTCCACCACTGTCAGTCAGTGTAACAGTTATTTATCATGCAGTCCCACATTGTCTCACTAACCTCTTTGAAAAAGTCCACTGCCGGCCCTGCAAGAGAGAAGACCACCACCACTCCGACATTGGTTGCCAGGATGTTGTTAATGATGGTTGTGACTGCTGGTCTGGGGTCAGTGTAAACTGGAATCATCCCCTGATAGGCCACGCACACCGACATCTTCTCTGCTATTTTGGAGAATTGCTGCACGCCTTGTTGTCCGTACTCTTCTTCACTGCCCACCACGGCCACCCAGTTCCAGTTAAACTCTCTTAGTAGAAGAGCGATGGCGTCCACCTGCCACTTGTCACTGGGCACGGTGCGGAAGAAGGATGGGTAGTGAAGATTGTCACTAAATTTGTCGCTGGTTGCACCGAAGCTAATCTGGAGTGAGAGGAGTCACATTATGGTTTTGAGTAACATGTATTTTACTACACTGATTTTACTCAGACCCATTATAACATCCACCAAGGTGTTTGTTTGTCCATTATTTAGCAGGATTATGCAATAACTACAGACCGGATTACCATGAAACTTGGTAGAAGGATGTGATATTGATAAGAATCCATAAAATTTTCATCCAGATGAAGGGGCAGATTTTTTTTCACTTGAACATTGTGAGATACAGTGTTTTTTTAAAATATTTTTGTTGATTTCTTAGTGAATAATCCATGGAATTCGATAAAAAGAAAAATATCTATCATGTTTAGTGGACTTACATATATGAGTATTAACAAATTGTTGCAGATCTCTGGATCCAGTAAATTTAAATGTGGTTTCATAAGGGGACTGTATGACTCTAAGTGCCCTTCTTGATTACACCCTGTCCATTTACTGAGGCTGCAGTACAATTTGCATTGCAAGTAGGCAGTTCTTTTCTGTGCATTTTAAACAAAACAAGCGAATAACTGAAAACCATGAATAACCAGATTGAAATTAAGTGTAGAAAGACATATTTGTAACCAAACCTGTGGAAGGAGAAAGAATCCCAGGACTTTCCCAATGAGGGACACCATTTCTGAGCTATAAGGACCAATCACGGCTGATACGCTGGTCTCGTAGTTGGTGTAATTACACTCCACAGGCAGTGCTTTGGTGGATTTTGCTGCGAGGAAGGAGATAGTGGGCTTCACGATGACGGCTGATTGTCTGCACGTGTCATAGATCTCATAACCCAACTTGACACCAGGGAGCAGAATTTGGTTTGCGTTGATTTCATCCACTGCATATTTCATGACTAGAGAGAGGCCCAGTCCATTTTTATTTAACCTATGGGATCCCAAAGGAGAAGCCTCATTAGACAGGTTGGTGCAGAATCACAGATAATGGGGTCATTTTACACTTTACCTGTCACAGCTGATGTTGTTGGGCTCCGTCCTCTGGCTGAGGTTGCTGGAGAGCTGGTTAATGTAGAAAAGGCCTCCAAGCATAATGTCACCAGGCAGACTGAAGAGACTAGTGGAAATGTTTTGGAACCATCCGGGTGAAGCACTGTCGCTCAGTCTTACCTGCCAGCACAGGATCAGCAGAATGAACAGTGAGGCCATGGCGCGGATAAGCCGGAGACTGGAGTAAGTGTGAGGTGAACAGTGTGTGTATATGTGTCAGTAGAATATTGTTGTATGCAAACTGAACACAAAGCTCCGCAGTCAGTCGCTGTGATTGGCCCCTCCCTTCCCTGACCACCTGAAGATATAAAATGAAGTAACTGCAAATGATGTGAAATGGTCCTTATAATATTGACATACATTTACATTTGCGTTATAAAATCAACACCTTCACTATCGTAATGATATAGAGAGATGTATTATTATAAATATAGAAAACAACATTTATAATATTCATTGCACTGTTGTTCTGATTTTGTGTAAATTGAAAGAACATTGAATGAGTTGTGTATCGTATTTGATGGTATTACTGTTTTTTATGTTCAGGAGGTTTGTTGCTGGTAAGAAAGACAGAATCACTTGAGTGTATCTGGTATGTGTTTGTGGTGCAGGTGTTGTTCATCTTTCCGGAACATTTTCCCGACATTTGGTTGTGGTTTGTAATTTGATGCTCTTTGGTGTAACAATCTATCAGAAGATGAGCACATACAGTAAATTCACTTTAACTGTGTTGTTACCGCAACATTTATTCTTCAAAAATATCAGTTTGTGTTTCTTATCATGTGACTCTTGTTATAATTTAATGGTCTATACTGTGTACTCATTAAACATTGTAGTAATAAGCACGGAGTACTCATGTAATATTGTAGTAATGACCACTGAGTACTTGTGTAATATTGTAGTAATGACTTCTGAGTACTTGTGTATAATTGAAGTGATGAGTACTGAGTAATCTTGTGATAATGAAGTAATGACTACTGAGTACTCGTGTAATATTATAATAGTGTCTACTGAATACTTTTGTGTCCGAGGGCAAGATGCCCCAAAAATGGCCCCTGATAGATGTTGAATGCAGTAATTGTAAGTCGCTTTGGATAAAAGCGTCAGCTAAATAACATGTAATGTAATGTGTTGAGTACTGAGTACTTTTGTAGTATTGAAGTCTCGAGTACTGATTACATATTTGTGATGAGTAGTCATGTACTGTTGAACCCATTGTAGTATGATGACTACTGAGTACTCACAGACGGTGATGCCTTCATGAAGATGATCTCTAGTTTGTGGTTGTCAAGTTTTGCTTTTACCTCACTGTTCATTTGCAGGTTCATTTGCAAACATTGTTTTTCATCCCAACAAGAAAATTGACATATTTCCTGCCACAATATTTACTTAAACCACCGGTTAACATACGCACTTTTGAATGGTCTTTAATGTTTTACTTCACAACATCCTCAGTTTTGAATACACTTTGTTAGGTTTGAGAATACAGCTTAGCAATGTTACAGAATCATTCAGGGGAATTAGTCAGCTGCAGCGTAGATTAACAACAGGAAGAAACTTTGAAGGGAAACAAAAGGGAAACAAATTCACAGCTCTATGAGTGTGTTTTGGTTTTACCGGTTCAGTTCCTGAGCATTTCTTTTTGATGTCTGCATATTCACTTTCAAAGGAGGGAGTGCCCAACACAGCCAGAGCTATTCTTCTGAATCGCAAGGTAGTTTTTGTGATTAACACATTGAGAATTAGTTGCTTGACTCGGCAGAGGAAGCCATTACCGTGCACATCTTTCAACTTTTAACATGAGTTTATATTTTTATGTTACTGTGATAAAAGTACGACTGAAGCACAGTTTGGGTTGTGACCCGCTGTGAAACTGTTTTTCTACACAATCCACGTCTCACTACAAACAATTCAGCTCAGTGTAATTAGTGCCAATTATATCTGTTTTCTCCATATGCTGGTTTTTAAAAGGTCATTATTTACTTGTACACACATTACATTTCAAAAGCATTGTTGATATTGAAGGCTACATTTTGCATTATACCTCGAAGAGAATAATATAGCTTTCCAGATATTACTCCAATAGTAGCCCATGCATATTCTTGTACATACAGTACACATAATAACATATACATAAATTACTTTTCTGCTTTTCTTTCACTTGATGTGAACCTAATCTGAATCAGTTACAGGAAGGGTTTGTTCAGGGACATGAAGGAGGAGTTCTGTTGCATATCTTAGTCATCTTGACGTAAGAAGAGCCATGATGAAAGTCTTGTCTGCTCGTTACACCTACACTTCAATCTCTTATCACGAACCTGTATTTGAGACTATCTTCCACATGAAGAGTCAGGATCACTTTATTTTGTAGAACCCCTGAATGCAGACAGTGGATTCAGATTAACATCTTGTTTATGTTTAAGCAACTTTCGTCTTCGTGAATTCAGCTTTAGCCCTGTTGTGTCTGTGCCTGTTGTAGTTTCAGAAAACCCTCATTCAGGATCTGTGCCACCATCAAACACAGGCAAACTCATTTTCTGTCTTGTTTCCTGGTTGTGGGTTTCTCAATGGTCTGGCACTGACATGGAAGGGTTCTTTACTGTAATTACACTGGGCCGTTTGAGATTTATTAAAGTAAACTGTCTATGGGCCCGTTAATTATAGTATTGGGTTACAACAAGTTAAAACCACAGTAAAGGAAATTTAAAACCTTTGTCAAGTACAACAGACATGAAGGAATATTGGAGTCATTTCTTACACTTGGTATGAAAATAACCCTTGAAACGTTGGTGTTAGTTCTTAAACTACAGGCAGAGACAGAGTCCACAGTGTAAATTATGACCACAATGTTTGTAGACTCAGTTCCACATTAATCATGTTTGTGGATTTTGTTTTGTACTTTCTATTTAAATTACTCAACATATGCTACCCTTGTGACCAAAACAAAAACACTCCACCATAAATGAAAAGAACAAAAAATAAGACACGTGAACATTAGATACTATGCATCCCACCAAAACAAAAAACTATTTAAAGGGGCCGGACCAGCATAAAATTAACACTGACATAACTCAAACCTAGACATGATTTACCACTAGGTACATACTATTTTAAAATTCAGGTTATTGAATGAAGACCCAGTGGGAACCCTGTAGTAACTTGTATAATGTTGTATAAACTTTTTGCTTCATGAACCTCAGATTAAAGAGTTAAGTATATCAAACTAACCCTCTGCATGATGATGGTGGTCTTTTGAAAGTCTAGATGTTACTGCGAAACACCTCATGGGTGTAGACTTTTATGCAGCTCCGCCACTAGGTGTCAGCGGTGTGTATTTTATAGACTTCACCTATAGGACTCATGCAGTCTCTCCTGCTTGTTGACTGTTGACATCTGTCAATTTATAGAGAAAGAGGAATATTTATTTTATGAACAGCTGGAAGACTGAGTTGAGAAAAAGTATTGTGTTCCTGGTGACGAAGCGAAGGTGAAGCCTCCTGCAGCTGTGTGGGCAGCAGGTACATTGTGTAGCAAAGGGCTGTTTGAACAACTGATAACAGAGGCGAGTCAACCTGTGTAAATGTTGAAATGATTTTCTTGGTCTCGGTGTTGTGGTTCCTCAACAAGAATCTGACGCAACTCGGTTTGTTCTGCCAGTCTGGAGCCATATTTTGTCTGTAGATTTCCAGGGGTTAGCCTTATGACCTGCAGAGGAGGGAACATTGTTGCACAACACCTCTCAGATTGAGAAAAACATAAGACGCTCTTTGCATCAAGGGAACACCACACACACACACACACACACACACACACACACACACACGTCCTTGCGCAAAGAAATACTCTTGCACGTCAGGGCGCTTTAGTGCCTTTGTGCCAGTGTTAATGTACTGTAGCTGGCAAACATAATATGCCACCAGAGCCCTTTTTCATGCGCAAAACTATTTTGATTTTTGAAAAACAGGGTATGTGCCTCCCTGAGAGAAAGACCCAGGAATACCACCCACTCTCCCTTGCTTCCTTTCGCCCTCCTTCCCTCCCCCCTTGCCTGCAGAGTGGCAGGGATCAGCCTCTCTCTCTAATCTCCATCGCTGGCCTGTGAAACACTGGGCCCGTTGTTGACATGCTGACCTCATACCCCACAGGGGCTGACAAATTATTAGCCAGCTTCTCTCTGTGCAGAGTGAGGACAGCCAGCCAGGCAGCAGAATACTGAAATGTGCTGCTGGACATGAGACCATCTGTCTTGATCAGCTCCGTGGCGATGATGCTGGAGGGAAATGTGGGAACGACGAGATCCTGTTGTGTGACAGCGGGGGTGGCTGGTCAGGGTTGAACCAGCTGTGGTGGTGTAACATGACTCAGTTTACAACAGCATGCAGCAAAGCTTGTGCATGTTATAGCAGCCAGAACACATGCGTATTATGTAGGTGTTGGTGCCTCACTTCGAAGGGTTAAAAAAGGATTGATCCTCCCTCCTTACAGCAGTAAAACTTGTTCTTCTTCGTGTCTTCAGTCTGTCTGTGTGTGTGTGTGTATGTGGCTCACAAGTGTGTTGCAACTTGTATTTCTGCACACATCCACATGTGCAAAGACATATACAATGGAATATGTTGTTGTGCATTGCTTTGTCTTTACATTGCATCACATCAGCAAATGTATTTTACAGTATATATATATATATATATATCCATATCACTGTACATAGCTGTGGGAAAACTAAACCTAAATTCAACAAACGTCAACTACTAATTAACCTGATTCCTAGAACTGTGTTAGCTCAAGGACTGGAACAGTGATGTTTGCACATTGGATTCACTAACCTGCAGGTCAGGGGGGTAAATAACTCTTTGGTGGTGTTCAGGTCTGAAAACCATTTAAAGTTCAAACCAGGGACAAGAGTGTTTGGCTTCACATCTGCCAGTCTGCTCTGTTCCCTACACAGCGGCGGATGACTGACTCACAGCTGCCCGTTAGGGCCAGTATAGAAACCTTATGAGCATGTTGAATATAATCTGAGAAAGTAAGTGTTTTACCTTGTGCTGGAATCTTGTTCTGCATATATGAATTGAAAAGGAATTGTCAAAAAAGCAGGTCATGCAAAAAGCCATGTTGGAGGAGTGAGGAAGAGGAGGGTGACCACAGGCCGTGAAATCTGA